TTAGTCTCTTTCTCCTGGAACTCTGGAAAGGCAGGACTAAAATAGCAGCATTTAAGGTTCTGTCTCAGGGCCCAGTGGTAGGTCTGTCTGACAAGACTAACTTCACCCAGAGAAATGAGTCACTCAGCCTGTTACAAAGATGTCAGAGGGGAAATGAGGAAAATCAGGCTATATCTGTCTGGTTGAGAAAAAAAAAAAAAAAAAAGCCCACATGATGAAATGTTCTTTGGCTACAAATTAAAATGCCCTAAAGCTTCCTGGAATTCTCTCTTGCTGATGAGCTAAATTAAAACAGAAAACCTCCATTCTAAGAAGCATCAAAGACAAATTAAGTGTCAGAGAAAAAGTACATTACACATTTATCGACTGTTTTATGAGGTTACTGAGACGGTTTATTAAAAAGTCCCCTCAAAAGATGATTCTTCTTGTAGTGAGAGCCTGTAGTTGCAAAGTGATCAATATGCATTGGAGTATTCACAGCAGATTCAGGGCAACTCCTAATTAATGATGTTTGAACATGTTAAAATAAATCCCTTTGAAATGTTCAGGAAAAAGGCAGAATGTGCTCTTTATAATGAATCAATTCAGAGTCTAGCATCACTATAAAAGGTGTAGTTTCTCTCCACTGGCAGTTGGGTTCTTGAATTGTTTCTCATACCTTTTGTACAAATCCTTTGGCAAACCCAGGTATGGAAATCCCAAGGGAACCAATTATGACACTAAATTGAAAGACTGCATCCATCTTAAGAATTCTGCAGCTGTAGATTTCATAGAAAGACACACTTTGAACAAAGCTGAAAACAGCATAAACTCAGGGACTGAATCCAATATTTCACTGCTAAGGAATATGCCGCTGAATATTTCTCCAGAATATAGAACTCTACAGAAAAGGAGCTGAGTATTCTCTTTTAAGAGAATTTGTAACTTAATAAATTTTAGTGGGACTTATGGATAGGAATGCACAATGTAATTTTATGTCAAATTGAGGGCCAAAATATTTACCTATTGTATGAGTTGCCTCTAAGGATAATCTACTTCCATTTTCCCCCACACCCTTAAAAATTACATAAAAAAGGTATAGACTCATTGAATCTCTTTTTTAATGGGGGGAAAAATGGACTTTACATGTGAAAAAGTCCATTGGTGCATGTCACAAAGCGGGACATTCTAAAGTAAACTTTCACATTGTGGCTGGCCAAATTTGGTGCCCTACCGAATATGTACCAGCAGGACAGAAGTTCTTGGTTAACATGGAAATAAAATGGATTTTTAACCTGGTTTTGATTTAGGCACATTGTCCTACAACTGTTCGGTTGCAGGGTGGTAAAAATGTTGGAAACTTGCATTGATCCTTCCAAATCATAAGCGCGTGGTTGAATAAAAGGTTTAAAAATTACACTTTAAATTAATCTTCATATACATCTTGCTCTAAATCTAGCCAAAACGCCTTGCCACAATAGAACTGTTGTTTTTCAGTAATTGGCTTTTAAAATTTCGCTTGTTAAAATTTTTTTATACTTGTTTTTTCACTTTTAAAGGAGTGGTTTGGTTACCAAAGGCTTGGAAAATTATAAAGTGTGACTGGGGTTCAGAACAACTCAAAATAGTAGGAGAAAATAGGAATATAAAAAGAGCTTCTTCCCTGTTTAGGAGAAGGTTAGGAACAATTATTATATTGGTTAGAATAAGTGATAAGAATGAAGAGGAAGTAAATGATTATATTTGACAATATGATGAAAGAAACTGACAAATTGGAAATAATAGGATGCCATGTAGTGTATATTTTTGCTGTAAGCGAAAGAGCCATTATTGGTTTCTAGTTAGAAAACTGCTTACCTCACCTGTAAAATACTTGAAGAAGGAACTCTATTCCCCTAGGTAACCCCTGGCAAAATTCAGCATACTTTCCTCTTCATGAGAAGGTTGCAACTGTCTTTAACATTACCTACTATAGTGTCAACTCAATTTCCTTGCTCAACATTTAGTGATGAAAGAGTTCATAAATTTCTAGATGTCGTAAAATCACTCTGCTTTCATATTTTTCTGAATGAATAGACTGACTCAGTTAACCTCTTTTATAGATACTGTTCGTCGGTTTCATTTCCTTGAGTTGCTCTTCTTTCTATTATGTTTCCGCTTTTGTTGATTTCCCTTATGTCTATGTCAGGGTTCAAAGGGCATTCCAATACTGAATATGAAGAGGGATTATTTCAAAGCCAGTGCTAATCTATTTCTGGTCCATATTCAACAATTACAGGACTGTGGATGACTGCTATGCTGGTCTTTCATTTGCCTGCATTTGCCTACATTTGCTATCCTGTGCTTTGATCTTTCCTTACATGACCTACACTTGATCTTACTGTTTTCCTCCACTATCTATTATTGTTCCTCCTTATCATGGTTATCTCTCTTTATTAGTCATTGTCTCCTACAATATTAATAGTCATAATATCTTATTTTATTATTAAAGTTATGGTTCCAAAGTACAATATTTTAAGCCCTGAAGAACACCTCTCAATAAATGCTTTAGTTTGACATGGAACCAACAATCTTCAAGGGCAACCTTCAAATCCAGACACGATCAGATGGTCAGAAGAACAATCTCATGGATAAAAAGCAAAAGAGAAATCATAGTGGTTGCTATTTACAGTAAAAAAAAAAATGAAGGCAATGGAACTACTAAAAATTTATAGAAAAACTTCAGATCTCTTTCCAAGGAGCCAAAAAATACGAAAAATTGCTATAAATATGGTAGTAGCACACATTATTTATTACCTACCCAGTTGCTATCTCTGTTTCTTTGATTAAAAAAAAAAAAAGTTTAGTTCAGGTACCTCGTGACCATGATGAATTGAAAAGAAGCTGGACTCCCTTTACCTTTTTGAGTGAGTCTTAATTACTCTAAGTCAATCATGAAAATTACATTCTCATGTACATTACTTTAGGAATAGGCATATGACAGAATTCTACCCAATGAGAGAAAGCCTACTGGGGATATTTAGGAAGGAGTTCCTCAATCCTATAAGGGGTTACAAGGTAAAGACATTCCTTTTTTTGCCTTTGAATAGTTTTATGTAGGATTGTGATTCATGGAGCTATGGAAGCCATCTTGCAGCTATTGGTTTACCACCTGGGGATGAAAGGTAACAAATTGAGATGGCATTCTAAAAATACTGGATTATTGATGAGGTTGTTGAGTCACCAAATTAACCATTCCTTAAGCTGCAATATCTCTGAACTTCCAGTAACGTGACTTGCTAAATTTTATTATTGTTTAAACCACTTTTAATTGGGCTTTCTGTATAGTTGCTGCTGAATGCATCCTGACTGATAAATTGTCCAACAGTTATTAGTTATTAATTGTCCAACAGTTATTAGGGCTTTCTGTATAGTTGCTGCTGAATGCGTCCTGACTGATAAATTGTCCAACAGTTATTAGGGTCTGGTTATATCCAATGAAGCAGTTTAAAAGGTGTTTCAATACCCACAAAAGTTGATTTTAATCATGATGATGACCTGGAGCACTAACATAAAATCTTTATAGGGTTATTTATGCTGACAGTTACGTAATTTAAACACATTCGTGATTGCATTTTATCAATGAGTAAAGTTGCTGGTATTTTTGGACCAAAAACAAAAACAAAGCAAGATAAAATATTTCCCAAGAGATGTTTTTTTAGAAATACAAAATCTTGCTAATGTATAAGCTAAGTATACAATGTCAGTGTTCAAAGTAATGATATATTTGAATTCAGACAGCATGAATTGAAATTGTAAGTATTTCAATATATCGCCTTGGACTGATTATTAAGGTGTTTCTTAAATTTCAGTCAAACCTGGATCTTCTGCTTCAAACATTTGAGCATTTTTAAACAATCAATCCAAATGGAAAGTACAGCAAATTCTAAAAATATGTTAAAATTTACTACACTTTAATAATTCATAATAAACCTGAGAGGGTGACTAAGAATATTTAAATTGTACATGTATTTGAAAAACATAAAAGTTAGCATATCTAAGTAATAACTCTTAGATTTTCATTACTGCTTAAGAATCTATATTGCCAAGCCTAAAACTATAGGAGTCAAAAATATTAAATAAATGTCCTAGCTAATAAACATGAAAGAAGAGCAGAAATAACCACAAAAATATGTTTAGCATCAGCCTATAAGAAGTTTATAAGAAGTTAATCAATAAATGGACTATAATAAAACAAAACTAACACTTTTGAGCTTTGTGGGTTTAAAAAGTACTTTTATGGAATAACAGTACCTTTTAAAGTAGATTTTAAAGTGCAGATTAAAGGACAGGCAAGTAAAGAGCACATTTTTCACAAACAAAAAAATATTCCTTGATAAATCAAAATGGATGGAATGTTCTAAAACCGAGATGCTATTTGCTGACTTAAAAGTGTTTGATTTATAGATATTCAGTTCATTTAAAGTTACTATTCATGAAACACTGATTTTGTCCAAAAAATAAGCACAAGTAATTTTAAAGTGGAGCCCCAATAAACTATTATTATAGGAGAAAAAAAGATTTTTTCCCCTGATTTATGAGAATATTTTGTTCGATAAAAACCAGAATCATATTGATACAGGACATCCTCTGCTGGATGAAGACTGCCATTACAATATTACATCAGATATTTAAAGCTGAAGAGGCTTAGCTAATTTCTCTAATTCTCCCTATCTTGTCAAGGGAGAGGGGCCGGGATGCTTTAAAAATACTTATGCCTGAACTACACCCCAGACCAATTAAAACCAAATCTCCGGAGCTGGGTTCTGTGTATATGCAGTTTTTAAACCTCACCAGTTTGTGACAAAAGCTTACTGAGTATTGCTAATAAAGGTTTTTCACCATCATTGAGAAAGATACATGAGTTTCACACGTGAGAACTGATCTGTGATTGTGTGCAAGGTACATGAAATAGAGAGGAGTTATTCAAATGAATGAAAAGAAAATGAAATTATTGTGTATTATCATCCAGTTTAGTTTACCTTGGGCTTTTCGTCCAGGATCTGCTGACGTATCTCCTTGTGTTTCTCTACAAGTTTTTCTTGCCTTTTACTTTGTGCCTCTTCTAACTATAAGAAAGTTACAAAGAAAGTTATCTGCATCCAAATGTTCAAGTGAATATTTTCAGAAAAAATTGAAAGCTGTTCAGATCTATGGCATACATTTAATTATTTCATACTCTGGTCAAAAACTGCCCTTACAGGTGTAGAAGACTGTTGGTAAGGGTTGGAGCTAGCTGATGAGTACACAGGAGTGAGGGTGGGGTGATCAAATGGTTTATACTATTTATACTTTTTTGTTAATATTTGAAAATTTCCATATAACAATTAAATTTTTTAAAATAAAAAATAAAATGGCCTTTGGAGATTGTCATCTTACTCTACCATTGATGACAACTAACAATTCTTTTGGGGAATCTCCCATTGACATCATGTTTCTGGGCTTCTGACTTTGGAAATGATTCCTGACGTCCCTCTTGTTTTTTTCCTTTCTTTTTTTTTCCTTTTCTTTCTTTCTTTCTTTTTTTTTTAAATTTGAAGATCTAATTGGCTTTATTTAGTGATTCATGAACTGGGCAGCATCCCACGTAGCAACTAGAAGGGCACTCCCTCGTGATGTCTATCTCTAAGTGAACCTTTTTATATACAGGTTTGCAATTAAACTTGCGGGAACATTGATTATGGAGTGCCTGCTCTGCGAAGCAGCTCTTCTCAGTGCTGGTAATAAACAGGTACAAGGAGGAATGGCATTTCCCTCCAGAGGCATACCTTGCTTGTCAAAGGTTCCCAAAGGCTTTGTAAAGGGGAGAGGGTGTAACCGTATTAAAAAGAAATAACAGATAAGAAGAGATAAAATACTGCCATTTGCAACAACATGGATGGATCTTGAGATAATCCTGCTAAGCAAAATAAGCCAGACAGAAAAAGTTGAAAACCACATGATATCACTTATATGTGAGATATAAATCTAAAAGCAACAAACAGGGCTAACAAATAGAGACTCATGGACATGAACAGTAGACTAGAGTTTACCAGAGGGCAGTGGGGAGAGGGCAGGTAGATGGGATGAAAAGAGTCAAAGATGTGGTGATAGAAAGAAATCTAACTATGGGGGGAGAACACGCAATGCAATATATATGACTTACTGTTGAATTGTACACTTGAAACTTATTGGATTTCATTAACCAATGTCACCATAATAAATAAAAATCAATTAAAAAAAAAAGAAACAAGTCCCAAATGGAGTCACTTTTGTTAAGCCCCACCAAACCTAATTGCAATTTCAGCCTCTCCCAAGAATGGAGTTTTAAACCAATCAGTCTGGAATTTCCACCTTCAACACTAGCAGGTAATCCACCTGATAAAACCCACTGCCTTCTCCTAAGGGAAGGTAACCTTGCCTGTAATAATCACCTCTATAACTTCTGTGTCCCATCTGTCTGCCTATAAACCTTCCACTTTGTACAACTCTTCAGAGCAACTTTCTATTTACTAGATAGGATGCTGCCTAGTTCATGAATTGCTGAATAAAGCCAACTGATCTTTAAATTTACTCTTAATTTTTGTTCTTTAACAACCACGTACCCTCTTGATGTACTGCACCACCTCCTGGATGTATGACCGGATCATCTCCGTCTTTTCCCTAAAAGCAAATGACATCAACAGGCATCAACAAATATAAGAATCTCAGAATTCCAGATGAAAGTTTACAGAACTCTCAACATTCTTATTACTGCTGCAAGGAAGGTACAATACACCAGCTCTGGACAAAGGTCAGGTTCTACCCAAAAGCAAACTGTTTTCACTAAATGCTAAGAAGGCTGCCTGACATTAGAAGTGAGTATTTTGCTTTGTCCTAAGGGACATTCTTTACTCTGTCTTTATATAAAAGGTCCTTTTTTGAGTCCCACATTGAAAACCTTACAAAAGGGATCTTTTGAAAGGTTAATTTAGGAGAAATTTCACAAATGGGCTTTATGGTTAAGAAAGATGCAGAATAAAATTAATCCTCAGGTAAAGGTGGAGGAGAAGGAGTTCTTTTTCCTTACTCTTCCATCTGGCTTTTGTCTTTGGATTTAGCTTCTGTTATCTTCTCCTGCCTCTTCTTATCCATTTTCTTCTTTAATTCCTTCTTCTCTCTGAAGTCAAAATGGAAGTAAAAGGGAAAAAAAGGCAAATCAAAAGTGTGTAGTTGTGTTTAATACATTTATATACACAAGTCCATTGTAATGAGAATCGAGGCTTACTTCTCACAGATTTCTTTAAGCTTCTTTAACTGATTGTTCTGACATTCTTCAGCAACATCCGTCAGTTTTTGAATAAGCTGGAGAAAAAAAATGCCAGTGTTCTGTTTTATATTATCATAAACAAATCACCCCTCCCTTTGTTCCCCTAAACAACAGTATCTGTAGTTAGAAAATCTGTCACTGATGTTTAGCAATAGTTGGAATTGCCAGACATCTAACACAGGCAATGTCGACATAATTTAAAACCATCATATTATTTAGGTTTTAATACAAAATTCTTCTTCTTATCTCTTTTTAATTAAACAGGATTCCTTAGATTATTGAGTTAGTTACTGCAGCGTGGCTCAGTGCAAAGACTAACAGTGTGGACCCAGATTCTGGTCCCCACTCTATGACTTATTCAAATTACGATTTTGATCAAGGGGCCCACATTTTCAAATCTGCATTTTATTCATTGTAAATGAGATTATCAATGCCTTTATCTTTTGGAGGAACTGTAAAGCTTAAAATAAAATGAGTATAATACGAATGTGAGTTGTAATCAACTGTAAATTATAATTCTTGGTTTCCAGCTATATCATCCATTGTTTAATTGCTTCATGGATGATAGGAGTTACCCATCTTAGAAATCGATGTTTGTGTCGTTGTGTGATTGACTTCCAAAAGACATCAGAAATTCTCTTCTGTGCTAGCACTGAACTTTTAGTGGATCACTATGAAAGCAATTATTTTATTTGCTTGCATCTATTTTCTTATCAAACCAAGCTTCAAGAGGGCAACAACAGTGTGTTCGTATCTTTGGCCCTTTGCACAATTCCTAGCATTCATTAGGTGATCAATAAATGCTTGTCAATCACGAGAGGGTCATTTTACCCTCTAATCCCTCCTCTTTCTTTATTCCAGGTGTAACCTTCTGCCATTGCTCAGGCAGCAGTAGCAACTGGACTCAACCCTTCTTACTTGACACCAAATGGATGGTGTGGATGTCCTATGAAAGGCTGCACTGCTGTTCCCTAGAGATGGAGACTCAGATATAGCAGTGTGAATTGACCAGTTTTATATAAGCTGTAGCTACAATAGTGACAAGGCAATATAATTGTAATGTCCGTAAACTTTCATCGATAATTCATACATGCAAAGCACAATTTGAAGAGTTTTAAATGTATTAGTTTATTCACTTCTAAGAGTTGCCTTATCAGGTTGGTGCTAGTACCTTCATTTTACTTATGAAAACACTGACACGCGGGGCTCAAGTTCTTGGCTTAGGGCCACAACGGTAGTAAGTGACAGAGCTGGGTACAAACCCAGACAAATCAAACTTATGTTCTTCACCACTTTCTCATGCTGCCTTTTCATTATGATTTTAGAAATTGTTTGATAAAAACCCCTTCTTATCTAAGAGAAAAAAAAAAGTTGAGAGATAAATTTTCTCACAGGATTACAATAAAGAATTCACATTAATTTAACGTGAACATGAAATCTGATGCATTCATCTGTGAAGTGGATTAAATCTGAACAAATATTAACTGGGGCTTGGGCCAGAAGAAAATCTATTTGATCATTCAAAAGAGATTGCCTGGTCATGACCATCGCAATTAAAGAAATCATGAAATATTACAGTGTTGTAGTGCCATTTATCAAACTGTCTAGATGATAATTTGGTGTGCAAAGCCTCTGGAAATTTCCTTGAGGATCCTGCAATGCCTCTATTCAGTACCTTTCTTTCCCCAGAGACCTTTATTTTCCCCCATTCACCCCAAAGCATTACAGAGAGTTATCCAGGGATCTCCAACCTTGGCTGCAACATTAGAATACTTATGGGCAACTTCTTAAAAATGCAGATTCCAGGGCCTGTTCCTAGGCCTGTGAACTCCAAATGTCTAGGGGCAGAGCCTGGGAATCAGTATTTTCAAAATCTTGGATGATTTGGATACTTTGAGGGGATCCATACAGACCATTGTTAAATCGTCCAGCAACATTTTTGAATTCAATGGTATTCATATTTCTGTTCCCATGATCATCTCTATTATTCATCTGACTCCAGAGGATATTCTTATTTTCTTGATTATGTCAGAACCTGGTCACACTTACCGCTTTTCTTACACCACTGCCCTCGTCCCCAGCAACGTCAATATCCAGTCAATGAAGCCACTGAGCCTGAGATCTCACAGCCCTTCTACCCACTCATTTTTATTTTGATTTGGTTTTAGTCCCCATACGACTGCCAGTACCACACTTCCTCAAGGTTCCACAGGAGTTCCCTGCCTCCTGCATCCCCTGGCCTTCCTCTTTGCCCCTCCCTCAGACCATCTGCACTTGCTCTTTACTCTTCTAGTTCTCATTTCTCTTGATAGAAGAACTAGTTCTCATTTCTCTTGCTCCTAGAATACACATCTTTGTCTAAATCTCAGACCATCTGCACTTGCTCTTTACTCTTCTAAGAACTAGTTCTCGTTTCTCTTGCTCCTAGAATACACATCTTTGTCTAAACTGTTCAATTTAACCACAATCCAACACATATTTATTAAGCACTTACTAAATACCAGGCAATATCATAGAAACTTTGAGCTGATGACTTGGCTTTCTAGATCTTGCCATTCAAAGTGTGGCCCATGGACCAGCAGCATTGGCATTGCCAGGGATCACATTAGAAATGCAAATTCTCAGTTCCTTCCCCAGATCAACTTGAAGTCAAAATCTATAGTTTAAGAAGATTCCCAGGAGATACTTATGCATGTTATAGTTTGAGAAGCATTGTCTAGATTATTGACAAAAATGAAGACAATTTAGAAGAAACCTTCCATTATAGACTGAGTGTCTGTGTCTCACCCCACCCCGCCCCAAATTAATATATTGCAATCCTAACTCCCAATGTAATGGTGTTAGGAGGTAGAGTTTTGCAGAGGCGATTAGGTCATGAAGGTGGAGCCCTCGTGAATGGGATTAGTGCCCTCATAAAAGAGACCCCAGAGAGCTCCCTAGCTCCTTTAACCATATGAAGACACAGTAAGAAGACAGTCATCTATGAACCAGGAAGTGAGCTCTCACCAGACATTGAATTTGCAGGTGTCTTAATCTTGGACTTTCAGCCTTCAGAATTGTGAGAAATAACTGTTGTTTAAGTCACTCAATCTATGGTCATTTGTTATAGCAGCCCAAACTGACTAAAACATCCTCTCAAATTCCCTCTTCTCTGCCTCAAAAGACCTTTGGAACTTTATCTGCACTCTCTCCATTACTCCAAACTCAGCTTTCTCACTCGTGACCCAGAGATAATGTTCCTGGGGTAGTTGTGAAAGCTGAAAGGGAAAACACATGTGCAAGTATTAATAGACCTCATCATAGGTTCTTAGAGAAAGATTCTCGCCTTTGTTTTTCAACCTGTATTCTCCTACCTGTGGCAGGACCTAATCCACCATTTCATTTTCTCTTCTCAAACTTTCTACTGCACTGGACACATTCCTTTTGCATAAAAACACATTTCTCTTTTCCTTATCCTCCCAGAACCCTGAACTTTTGTTCCATCCTTGACCTTCCTTGCATTTCCATCCCCCAAGTGGAAAACTAATTGCTGCTTCCAAAGCTGCACTGCTCCACCTTCACATTCTTCAACCCCACCATCTCTCTTCCACTCCAACCTCTGGGATTCACCTGATTTTGCTTTTTCAAAATCAAAAACTTTTTCACTACTAAACTTATTGGTCATTTCTCAAGGACTTAACTTTTATTCCAGAAATTCGAACATTTTCTTAGTTCAAAGCACCCTTAGGATCTCACTAATTTTTTCATGGCACTCTTAGGCTAAAAAAATAAAATAAAATAAAATAAGTTTCATTTATTTATTAAATAATTAGGTCCAAACAACTTAAGAGTAGTACTTTGCACAGTGCCCAAAAGATGTTGCTCCCTTTCTTTAAAAAATGTAAAATATCCTACAATTCCCTTGTGAATTCAACATGGTGCCCCAGGGTGCTTTTACCCACAGTTTGGGAATCATGACTTTATCCTTCTGAAAGCATTCCAGATTTTAACCACTCTCTTACAAAACTCTCTTTCCTTAATTTAGAGTATCTCCAGCAATCTCCACAGTCACTCCTCCTCTAACTCTTTTAGGAGTTTCAATTTATTTCAGCATCATCAACTACCTTTGACCAACTCTACCTGAGGATACTCACAACCATCTTAACATTTCCACAAGCAGGTTTAGGGAGCGTCGTCTTTCGCCAAAGAAGTCACTGCATTTTCCCACTAAATATCATCATTCGGTTCCTTCTTGGGTACTTTCCCCCACTAATGAGTCATGGAGATTTTTAAATTTCTTCTGTCACCGCATATCCCATGGCTTTGTGTTAACAGTATTCTGGTGCAGATTTTCATTAACTTCAGAATAGACTTGGCAAGTATTCCTTTCCTGCCCTCAGTCTCTCCCTAGCCCTTCTACTCCATTCCCAATATTATTCCCTTTTGTGTGTATCAAATCCTTAACTGACTCTCTATCAGCAACTATGTTATGCTCCAGTTCTAAATTTCCCTTCTCGATTAGCATTCAGCATATCCAATAAACTAGGCAGTATTTTACTCTCAGAATTGTCCAGGCACACACCTGCTTCTACACTTTTTCTCATGTTATTCTTCTACCTTGATCATATTTCCATTTGAATGGGAGACAGCACTGATATAGAACATTCCCATGATTGCAGAGAGTTCCATTGGACTATGCTGCTGTAACTGCTTTTGATAAGAGAATAGAGACCAGCTAAGATCTCCCCTTGTCCATGTCCCTCTCCTTTCTAAACCAGCCTTGGTGATTCTCCCCTTTGATAGCCCAGATAACTCCAGGCCTTAGCATCTTAACTGGCTTTTTCTATAAGATATCCCTTATAGATATTTACCTTTGTACATACATACTTTATTATTCCCCTCCCCAAATTATGCTACTACTATAGTCTCCTAATCTTAATAATTTTTGGAACCCCAGGCTTTGCTTAAAATTGACACAAAAATATTGTGAATAAAATCTTTTAAGTTTTGAAACCACACTGCCCATGACCTTGGTGATAGCTATGGAGCATCATGT